GTTCTATGAGACAGACCTGTACAGGAATGTTGCTTTCCTTATTTTGAACTTATTTTTCTAAAAATTAGTGGTCTTTTTATTTGTGTAATATTGCTCATCCTGAATTTAGAATAACTGATTTATTTTGCTTGCTTTCCATTTCAGATTTTTCAAAAATTATTTTCACATATGTGCATTTTTCTCAAAAAGGAGTAATAGTAAAGAAAAGCCAGAATGCTCTATACCTAACCTATGATGTGACCATGTCAGTTTACTTAATGGAAATCAACATTACATCCTCATCTGGAGGCTCAACTAGGGAAAGTTTTGCTTCCTTCCTCAGGAAATTTGCCAAATCCATTTCCTTGTGTTTGTAGCATGAAGGTCTCTTTTAAATCTGATGGGTAGATGGAAACAGCTTCAGCCTGACTGAGATCTTAACTGCATATTTACAGAAAGAGGTGACCCATGGCCCACAAAAATCTCTGCCTCCCCTGTTTCTCCTCCCAATATTCCAGTTTGGAAGAACCAAACTTTTAAATAGGGGAAGAAAGTTACAAGAATCAGATATTTCCTTTTCTCCTCTCTAAATCTTTCAAGTCCCAAGCCTGGGCCTTGTGGGAGAAAGAAGAGGCACAGTAGGAATGTGCTTGAGGTAAATGAGATTGACTTTAACAGGCCTGGATTTTCAGTGAAAGGTATGGCACATTTCCAAGATGTCCTTAAGGAATAAAGAAGTGACATTTGACAGGCTGAAATGTTGAAAACATTGACTGGAGGAAGATGAAAACATTTCACGTTTATAACTCATTTGAGATATTCAATAAACCAAATATATATATATTTAAAGTTTCCCTCTGCTTCCAACTTTTTTATGTTTAAAACAGAACTTTTTCTCCATGGCTTCCCAATTTCCACAAAACAAATGATGTCACTAAGTCACATATTAGAGTGAATTAGATCCAGATTTATTTCCCAACAGCATAATGGAGTAAGTAAACATAGGACGAAATCAGTGCACAGATACATTAGTGGGATGGTTAAGAAGGGATGTCACCAAAATTAGTAACTAGGGAAATAAGCTGAAAAACATTTCTGTATTAAAAATGATACATAGTCTGAAATGTTTTATTGATATAGGTAAGACATTATAATGAGGTCTTGATACTTATTTCTGATTGTAGCTGTCATCTCATTTATGCTCAGAATTTTAAGATGCATCATGTGAAGATATAAAGGCATTTTACAAGAACTCAAAGCCAAGAAACCATGACAACATATCCAATTTTGTACTTCCCTTTCTAAAATAAGCTGGCCCCTTATGAGGATAAAAAAAAAGAGTAGCTACCATGGTAATTCCCTGTATTAAGTTTTATTCAATTTAAATTGTATTGAGTGTGTATACAATTTAATTATAAAAGATTCTTTACTAGTTATCAGTCTTGAATTACTGGTTCAATTGATAGCCATTTCATTTAAAATTCTCATGATATATAAAACAGTGTGTTTCTATATTTATATCTCTGTGTATATATCTATGTTTATGTCATTATAGCATATTACAGCAAAAAAGAACTTTAGGAAGATTATGTTCTACTCTAAGCAAAAGTGATAAGATCAAATTAGCATCACAAGAGACCAATCTCTTAAATTGTAACAAAATATATTAAGTGTAATATACATATAACATCCATGTGTTGTAGTAAACCTAATATCCAACAGAAGGGGAAGTAGGCTACAAAGAACTAACATAGTTTTACTTGTTTGGCACATGAGTAGTCAGCACAGAAAACAATATTTTGAACACTAAAATAACTTCTAAGACATAGCACAATTAAAATCAAATTTTGTTAAACAGGGATTTTAAGATAATTTTATGTAAGATTTAAATTTTTCACAATAAATAATTTTAATATTTGAAATTATTACTTCAGATATGATAATTAATTTACTAAGAAGTCTTATTTGTTATGCATTTGGTATATATTTAAAAAATCATAGTGGTACTGATATAATAAGTACAGTAGATAGCAAGGCATTAATGAGTGGAGAGCCCTTGAGCAATATTTGACAACACAATGAAGATTAAGTGCCAGGTAGTATGCATGATGTTTAAATATAATTAATGGTATAAAATTTATTCTCCTTTAAATGCAGACATACCTTTTTATAAAAGTGGCTTATTTTTCTTAGACTGTTGTCTAGAATACAGAGTTCTGTCCCCTCTAATTGGATCACTGAGAAATGTACATATGTATATATGTAAATACTTGCTTAAAGCAAAAATAATTTTTTTGAATGACAAGAAACTGGGAGAAGTCATTTCTTTGGGATTAGAATAGTGAAACTAGGAATAGCGGTTTTCCCCCAAAGCAGATCCTATGTTAAGAACGTGGGTGTAAGGTTTAATCAGAAGCCATTTTGGTAAGGTGTTAAAAGACAGAGCCACAAAACAACTACACTTCAGAGTTTCTGGTGTCACTCTATTGCAATGACTGAGAGACAGCCACAAGAGACATTCAGAGAAGGCACAGGCTAGACATAGACCCCTCCTGAGAAATTTATGCTCAGTCTGGGAAGGATAGAAGGGCCCTGCCCTCTATGGTAAGATGTCAAGCAAGCTTAGTCATGTATGGCTTTCAGAGGGGTCTAGGTTTGAAAGGGCTGGCATTAAATTCAGTGGTCTGCTTAAACTCTGCCCTGCTGCCTACATCCAGCACAAAATCAATGGTTTATCTGCTATCACCAACTACCAATGTGAGCAGGGATATGGCTCAGCCTGGGTGGTCACCACTGCCTGAGGTGTATGGACAGAGGGGTGGGGGGTGGGGCGGCACAAATCCCCTGGCTGAAAAGCTAGGCAGACAAAGCCATGACTTGGTGCATACCAAGGAACACGGAAATTGGAGCTGCTAAAATGACAAAATGAGGGCCCGGGATTCAGTTCAGTGGTTCCTGCACCGGCCTTGCAAGCACAAGGTCCTGAGTTTGATCCCTGGTACTGAAAAAAAAAATTAAATGACAAAATGATTTCTTCCCTAGGGCAGAAATCATTGATGACCACTTCCAGTGGGAAAGACAGGGCAGGATCCAGCATTCACACACAAAATCCTGAGTATGGAAACAAAACAGGTCTTAGTAATGAGTCACTATCCTGACCCCCATATCTGTTAAGTTCCAATACTCCAGATTCTGGAAAGAAGGCATTTATTCAAAAACACAGAGGAATTTTTTTTTAACTCATTCCTTTTTTTTTTTTTTTCTTTCTTCATTGGTTTTCAAAAGATTTAGGGTATTTATTTTTTCTACTTTTCCTTTTATTTTTTCTTTTTAAACTTTATTTTGGTCTCTGTGCTTTTTTCTTCCTTTCTTCTTTCTTGTTTCTTCCTTTCTTTCTATATATTTTTTCACTTTTTAAAAGATTCTTTTTCACACATTTTTTATCTTTCTCTTTTTTAGTTTTCAAATTTTACTTATTTCATTCTCTCAGTCTCCACCCACTCCATCATTACTAGTATTACTGTTAAGTTTTAATCTTTAGATATTTAGTTAAATCTATGCTATTATTATTAAATTCTTTTCTTTTGCTAATGATGGTATAGTTTGTTGTATTTAATAGATATTTGTTGTATGCCAATGTTTAGGTTGTCTTTATATCTAAATTATAATTATAAAACTCTTTATTGTTAAGGGTCTTATGGTGATAGCTTTATTGGTTGTTATAGTATGTTAATACCCAGTCTGTCTTTGTATTATTGTTGCTGATTTTGTTGTTATTGCCAAGGTGGCACAGTTGTTGCTTTTGATTAATTTTTACTGCATGCTAACATCTGGTTTGTCGTTGTGTCATGAATAATACTGCAGTTCATTTCCAGTGACCTAAGTGATGGATCAATTACACGGGACTCCTCCTCCCAAATTAATGGAAGTGGTTGTATCTGTAACAGATTTAAAAACCTACATAGGTAGCCATGGCCAGAGCATGTCAATGAGAAGCAAACACTAAATAACTTGGAACAAAATTGTTCAACTGTAATAGACCTAAAAACATCAGCACAAGAATAAAAAATAGAAACATGAAGAGATAAGGCAAAAAAGTTATTCCAAAAACTTCCAACTCACCCAAACCTGCTACATAGTTCATGAATGGGGAGGAAATAAAAATAAAATAAATGAATTATATGAAATGGTAAAAGAGGAGACAAAAAAACATGACAGATTGATAATGTGTTTCAAAGATGATATTAAACAGATAATGAACATAATAAACAAAACTATGACTTGCTGTGGTCACATCCAGATGATCATGGTGGCTGGGGAATATCTCCTCAGGGAGTTGGTTACACCTTTGGCCAAGATATTTCTGAGACATTTAATCATGCCAATGGCCTCATGTTGATGTCTAGAGCTCACCAGCTGGTGATGGAGGGATATAACTGGTGCCATGACCGGAATGCAGTAACAATTTTCAATGCTCCAAACTATTGTTATCATTGTGGTGACCAGGCTGCAATCATGGAAATTGATGATACTCTAAAATATTCTTTCTTGCAGTTTGATCCAACACTTCGTACAGGTGAGCTACATGTCACTCGTTGTACCCCAGACTACTTCCTGTAATGAAATTTTAAACTTGTACAATATTTCCATGAACCATTTATTGACCTAATGGAAACAGGAAGAGGAACAGTAACTCCAGAGTGTCAGAAAATAGTTAACATTCAATAAACTTGTTTTCACATGGACCAAAAGATGTGCCATATAAAAATACAAAGCCTCTTGTCATCAACAGCCATGACCACTTTAGAATGAATCAGTCCATTGCATGCTGAAGTGACATTGTTGGTCAAGAAACCAATATCTGGCATAGAAGTATTTGTACTTACTTTTTGCTTTTTCTGAGAGACTGCAGATAATAAGATGTAAACATTAACACCTCATGAAGCCCTCCGTGCTCTGCTTGCAGTTAAAAGTAGGTTTGCCTGGCAGAGACCTGTCTGCAGGTCCATACCGCTACCACCATGCCCATGATATTTGGTTATTGGGACATCCACGGGCTGGCTCACGCCATCCCCCTGCTCCTGGAATACACAGACACCAGCTATGAGGAGAAGAGATACACCATGGGGGATGCTCCCGACTATGACAGAAGCCAGTGGCTGAATGAGAAGTTCAAGCTGGGCCTGGACTTTCCCAATCTGCACTACTTAATTGATGGGACTCACAAGCTCACCCAGAGCAATGCCATCATGCACTACATTGCCCGCAAACACAACCTGTGTGGGGAGACAGAAGAGGAAAGGATTCGTGTGGACATTTTGGAGAACCAGCTTACGAACACCCACATGCAGCTCGTCATGGTCTGCTACAGCCCTGATTTTGAGAAAAAGAAGCCAGAGTTCTTGGAAGGGCTCCCTGACAAGATGAAGCTCTTCTCACAGTTCCTGGGGGAGCAACCTTGGTTTGCAGGGAACAAGATCACCTTCGTGGATTTCCTTGCTTATGATGTCCTTGACCTGCACTGTATATTTGAACCCAAGTGTCTGGATGCATTCCCCAAGCTGAAGGTCTTCATATCCCACTTTGAGGGCCTGAAGAAGATATCAGCCTACATGAAGTCCAGCTGCTTCCTTCCAGATCCTTTATTTCTAAAAAAGGCCACATGGGGAAACAAGTAGGAACATGTGATGATACCTCAACACAGAGGGGGATCTGTCATTGCACCTGCTGGCCAAGGGGGCTGGACACACCTGGATCCCTGAATCTTAGTTCAGTCTTCTCAGTATGTTTTTCTTGTTTCTACTTTTCTCTTCTGAAGGTCTCACTGGCTCCCTTTCTGTACTAATCCCTCTGTAGTCAAGGCTCTGTACTGCTCCCCACTGTACTTCTGCAAAGTTGCCTTCCTTTTCCCTTCCCTAAATCCAATTATATTTTTCCTGCCCTTGTTTTGAGGAGCCCAACTGACCCTGAGCTTTCCAGGACTACCTAAAAGATCAGTAGAATCTAGTACTGCCTGGTGTGCAGGACCTAGCTCTCAGCGTGGTGACTCTCCAACCCCTGTTTTTCCGTGATCTGGATATCCCTCCTCTGTGTTCTCAGGATGTTTCTCCATTGACTTCTCCCACTGTATTGCAGTTGGTTTATGTGTCCAACACAATCACAAGTTTCTTGAGGAAAGGATCCAGACCATGTTGGACATTTTATCTGATAAGTATGACATTGCCTGACATAGGTCAATGTTCAAGAAATTTGGAAACTTGAAAAAATTGTTCTCAAGGAAGCTTTGGTGGGCCTGAACAGCCAGTATTGGAACTTAGAGCTCTGGGAACAGCTATCCTAAAGTCCAAGGGGTACAGGATAAGGGGCAAAAGATTTCACATGGGCAGGTGTTGGAGTCTGAGCCACTAGCTGTCTCTCACATAAGCATTTAGAGGCTCCAGCTGCCCTTGCAACAAAGTGACTGGACATGCGAAGGCCGAGCTTGTTGGGTAGCAGTGTAGCAATATATGCAGTTTGGGGCTGTAACATTTTAGATCAGGTCAACCATAAAGGAGAAGAACTAATTGGAGAAGCACCTGGTGAGCAGCTTCCTGAATCAGCAGTTGTACCATGGATTCTGGCCTTGTTCAGGCACTGACTAAGATGTAGCTAGTAACAGGAAGCAGATTTGAGGAGAGTCCTGATGAACATTAGTCCATAAGATCAACTGACTCCTGCAGTTTAGAAATAGGATAGCAATAGGTGCTTAAGGTCACTGTAAAATAAATGATTAATAAAAATATAAAACAATGTCATTGAAGCTAAAATTTTATAAATCCAATAAGATAAAAATTATTTAAACTAACAATTGTTAAATTTTAACTTAAAGACAGACATGATAAAAATATGTAGGAAAAATAGAAATTAACATAAAACTATAATAAAAGTTAAGCAGATAAATAAAAATATCAAACCAGAGTAAAACAGATTTGGATCTATAGCAGAGGTCAGCAAATATTTTCCACAGAGGGCTAGTCCTTTGTGGTTTCTCATAATTCCTCTACTGCATTGTCACAGACCACACCTAGTAAATGGTTACAGCTGTGCTCCAGCAGAGCTTTATTTACAAACCAAACAACTGATTCAAATATGTGCAAATGACTTGAATAGATATTTCTCCGGAGAAGATATACCAATGCCAATAAGCAGATGAAAAGTTGCTCAACTTCACTACTAACTAGAGAAATTGAAATCATTCCATTCTGGAATTGAGCATTTCTGATGAGAAGGTTGGTTCCAGTATGATTTGAATTCACTTGTAGGTCTTTCTTTACTGAGGTTTTTCCAGACAAGATTAGCAGTTGAGTTAGTAAAGAGGATAGCCATCATCAATGTGAGTGGCCATCATACAATCACTCAGGGCCCTTACAAAACCAAAACATAGAGAAGAGGTGAATGTGCTCTCTCTTTGAGGCATCTGTCTTCTCTTCTCCTGGAATATCTGCACTCCTGGTTTTCTGGCCTGGAGATTTAATTCGGGATTTACGCCATCACACACCATTCCCATCTCCATTCTCAGGCCTTTGGACTCAGAATACATCACAGGCTTTCTTTGATTCATTAGCTTGTAGATGGCACATTGTGGGATTTCTCCATCTTTGTAATCACATAAGCCAATTGCTAATATAGGTATATGTGTAAGCAAAATAATGTATCTAATCATCTATTGTTTTTGTTTGCATGAAGAACTGTGTCTAGTATACCTAGCAAAAACATACAGAGATAGACTACAATAATCATGAGTGAATTGGTAAAAGCCAAGCAAAACAGAAAATGCTAGAGGATACTCATTTATTTGGAGACTTTTTCTATTTGGGAGGGATTGACTGACATGTGTTATAATAAAACATCTTTCCTTGTGGTAAAAAAAACCCTACCTTGTGAATATGATTTAACTTCCATTTAGCAATAGCTTTGACTGTAGATAAGGATAGCAGCAAACAATCATTGGCACTTAATGAACATTTTAAAAAATAAGTACCAAGCCTCCTCTTTACTCATGAGTTTTGAAATAGTTTATTTTCAGGGATACTGTTTAATTGTATGATTTGTCTGCACTCAGTTTATTCCCTTCTCAAATCTCAGCCCCATGTTGTTCTTTGTTATTGCCAGAACCTGGTGAGTTGTTCTGAATAGAAATGTTCCCCTCCTGTAAGACAATGTTATTGTACAGGAACACTGCAGTGTTTTTCATAATAAACTTGTGAACTAAGAAAAAAAAAATGGCACTAATAAAAAATTAGCTGGTATAAAGAAAATAATACAAAACATGAATGACCAATTTAGTAATGAATTAAAATTCATGAGAAGGTATCCAACAGAAATCCAGGAGATAAAAAATTCTACTGAAAGTATGGGTAGTAGATGTGACTGATATGAAGACAGTGTCAGATGTAGAAGATAGAGCTGAAGCTGTTGACTATATACTCAGAGATTCCTTAAAGACAACAAAAGAAGGGCAGGGGATTTAGCTCAGTAGCACCGCTCCTGCCTCGCCAAGTGCAAGGTCATGAGTTCAATTTCCGGTACAAAAAAAAAGACAACAAAAGAAAATGGTCAAACAGCTGCTATGTGAAGGAAAGAAGTCTAATCTCTGATTAATACGAATTAGTGAAAAATCAGAATACAGGCCAAATAACTTAAAAAAAACCTATTTACAGAAATAATAGCAGAATAATTTCCAAATATTGTGGAAAGAAATTAGTGTACAGAGAAGCAATACATATAGAACTTTATATAGCTATAATCAGAAAAGAACTTTTTCACAACACATCACAATAAAAATCCAAGAAGCCCAGGCTGGGGATTTAGCTCAATGGTGCTGATGCCTGCCTCGAAAGCACAAGGTCCTGAGTTCAATCACCTGTACAAAAAAAAAAAAAAAAAATTCCAAGAAATCCAACACATGGACAGAATTTTAAAGGCTGTTAGAGAAAAACAAGTCACTCACAGAGGTATACCATTAGAATTATAGCAGAGTTTTTAACATAAATCTTAAAGGCCAGGATATCTTGGAGTGATGTGTTTCAAGCCCTAAAAGAAAGTAACTTCTAACCCAGACTGATATATTTTGCAAAACTATTTTTCAAAATTGATGGAAAAAGGTCATTCAATGACAAAGAGTACCTTAAGAAATTCATGGCCAACAAACCAACACTCCAAAAATTTCTCAAGGAAGATGGGTTATGTATATATACTAATGCCCCATTAGGAATAGTAATCCTTATGGACTGCAAACGTGTACTAATAAAACATTTTCAAAAAGAATGTGGATGTAAGTAATTCATAAGAGAAGATACAGTAAGAAATAAAAGTTTGGAGCCAAAAGGCAAAGTATGCTAATGAGCATGTTAGCAGTGTGGACTCTTTAGAACCCATGTGAAACACAGTTCAAAATTTTCAAATGTGAGAACAGAAACCTTGGGGCATTTATCTACCTACTTCTCTCCCACCATTGGTTGAGAGCTGCTCCAGGCTGTTAATTTCTCACACATGCTGTGAAGGGAAGGGATGTTGGATGTTGGAGATGCAGAGCTGTCATGGTGGCCCCGGAGATTCTTCATGGGGAGAAAGGCTAAGTGAAAGTATTTACATTTCTTCAGGTCACTTCTGATTCTGAGTTCCTCCTTCCAGTTTTCTGCAGGTCAAGCACTGCTTTCTATCCCTGCTCCTTTACTTCCCACAGCCTTCCTACACAGAGAAATGTATTTAGCAGACTGCATGACAGATTCAGTATAACAAATTCTGGAGAACTTTAGACAACTTATTAAAATTGGTTAGTGTATCTTTGTTCTTGAAATGTCTTGAGAAATTCTCTATTCTCTGCAGGAATTCTCACTGGACTCTTTACCATGGTTTCCTGCCATATGGGTTATTCTTTTGTCTTCTTTGTAAAATTTTTTTTTACTGACTCACCAATTGTTATGGCTTGTGTCTAGATGTCTGCCTAAAGCCTCATGCAGTCATAACTGGGGCTTTGTCAGAGGTGGCTGGATCCAGAGTGTGTGATGCTGGGATTGATTCTTGGTGCAATGCTAGGCTCAAGGGCATTAGGATTAAAGGTGAGTGCTACCTGTGTGGAGTAGCCTGTATAAGATAAAAGGGCAAAAAGATGTTGTTAATGTCCCTTGTTGCTTTTGCTACCTTCTGGCCAACATGAACTATCTCTGCTCTGCAATACCTGTCCGCCTTACCACCATGCCTTGGAGCTGGGTGATTATAGACTGAGCCTCTACAAACCTCTCCTCCTTTAACTTTAGGTGTTGGATATTTTGTCTTAACACTGAGAAAAGTAACCAAGATACCAATCCAAGTATCACAAAGACCTAAGATTTCTTTAAATACTTAGTCCAGAATACTTTGACTCCATGATCTCTTGCCTCCTTCTAACTGTTCCCAAAGCCTCACCTTCTATATCCAAACTGAGTTGTCATGCTCTTTTTTTCAAGCAGTTCTTTCTCTAAGAGTAGCATCAGCTAAAAGTTTTTATCCTGCTGCATATGTAATATTGCACACAATAAACACTATATTAATATTACAGTAGGTTCTGATAACTTTTTTAAATTAATTGGACTGGTTTACTCTGTTCTCTTTATAGCACCTGCTTTGCTTCTTGTCTCCTAAATAACCTGTGTTACAT